TTTGCGAGCCCCAGCGAAAAAATCATTCGAGAAAGCAAAAGAATTTCGCAATCGAGTATCAAACAACATTTTTTCGAAAACTGTATCCCACAGCTTTAAAATTAATAAAAATACAAAGAAAAAATTGACATATAATAGGATATTATGTATCAAATTTGATAAACGCCATCTTATACACGAATTTAAGTTAAAGAGTGTATAGAAAAGTTTATAAACGAGGAGCATACTATACTTTTTCTACGACAAATACAAGTATTAAGTTTATTATTATCTTAAAATGATTTAAATGAAAAATTTGTATAGAGCGCCATCTATAAAACAACAGGGGAAACTTTCAAATGTCACATTTTTACATTTTATAAACACAATTATAAAGGTTATAAATCGAAATGTATTTCTTGAAAATTGACAGTTTTTCACAGTGAAAGTAAAGGAAATGTTTTATGAGGACTTTACAGTAGAGTCCGTGCCCGAATTTAAGTTATAGTTTACTGCCGGCGAAATTAAAAGGTCAGTACAATGTTCATATAAACTTTTCAATATTGGCGTTGAGAAACTATTTAATATTTTTGTATTTTTGTATTGAGAAAATAAAATAATTTTACATTTAGTATTATTTTACAAGAAAGGCACTTTATTTTAACGATTGTATGACCTTTGACAACTGTCAACTAACTTAAAACTAACCCGTGACGCCACAACTTGTCAATGTGTATTTAAAAGGTCACTTAGTGTCATGGAAACATGTACGATAAAGGGCATTTTAAAGGTGGGAGTAGAAAAAATTATTTTATTTGACGTAAATTTTAATATTTTAATATCAAATATTCTTTGGAGCGTTCATAGCAACGCCATAGCAACGCCATAACCACGCCATAGCAACGCCATAGCAACGTAACAAACAAGCTTTAGTAAACAATAATTTTTCAAAATTTTGAGTCGTTAACTAATTCTATCATCTATATTTTTATTGATTTTTGTTTAAAAATAAGCGAGAAAATTACTAAAAGAAGAATAAACAATTTTTAAACAAATTGACATTAACCTCTTATTTTTATTTGCTAATAAATAATGATTTTTAGTGTCTTAAATAAGTTAAGATGGTAAGTTTATTGATGTTAAGTTACTTATACCTTAAAAATTTAAAGAATAAGGTGACTTTTCCTACCTAAATAGGAACAATATTTTAGGTGGACGTAAAAGACTTTTAGATCCGTTGCTACTAGCAACGGATGTACATAAAAGACTTTTAGTCATAAAACAGTTGTTTTGACACTTGATAAATATTATGCAAATGTAAACTTTAACAGTCGAAAAAAATATTTTTTTTGCAGATCCATAAAAAGTATTTGCATTGATTTCAAGCTTTCAAAAGCGTATACCCGCTAACCATAAAAATATTCCAAGGCTCCACTAAAAAATTGCTTTTCTCTACGACTACTTAAGAATAGTAACATTCTAGTGTAATTTTTGATCATAGAAAGGATGTTTTTCTGCAATACTGTGCGAGAATATTCCTACTCTTGTTTAAGAATGGTCACAAGTAACGACATCTCCTGGCTGTTTACTAAACGTAAAAAATTTAAAAATATTTAAATATTACTGTATTATTTATTAATTAAAAAATAATAGCAGTTGTATAATTAAGGTTTTGGCACAAAAAATTAGTTATATTTATTGTTTTTCAAATATACAAATCAAAATTATAGTAAATTTGATATTAAAATGATAAACCAGTTACCTACTATACCGGCTTTGAAGTTTTGACAGATTCAAAAAGTTTAAAAAGAAGACCTTTAAAATGTAGAATAGATGTTGACATAGATTACTTGTAAAATTAGTTTTGTTTTTGTTAGAATGTTATTATTATAATAAAGATTTAGGCATACCATTTGTTTAAATTTATTATAATTTACATTATAAAATTGCGACGGAACAAAATGGTTTGACAATACAAAAAACTTAAATGTCAAAAACTGCTTGGTTTCTTTTCTCTGTTTAAAATTATATAAGCGTTACTATTCTTACGTAGTCGTAGAGAAAATAATGTCTGAAACACGTTTGGAATAGCATATTCCACTCTCGTAAAACCGTCACACTCGCCTTCGGCTCGTGTGTCAAATTTTTCCTCGAGCGGAATATGCTGTATTCCAAACTTGTTACAGAAAGTACTATTTTTGACTTATCTTCGTATGCCTTTTATCCTTATAATTTAACGATAATTAATAATTTAATGTAACTGTCCATTTCATTAATAATATAATAATTATTACTACTCATTGTTAAATCATTTAAGCAGAAGAATTTTAATTGTATTTAAAATAAAAATGTACTTATTTTGATTTTTGAGAACTTGGTTTTCTGGCTAAATTAACAAATTAATTATTTATAGATATGTAATACCTATTAGGTAGGATACATATAATAATATCTAGCATGGAAATAAATTATTTAATTACTTTTATTATCTCAATATAAAAATACAGTATTAAATAGTTGCTTAACGCCAATATTTAAAAAGTTCATATGAACATTGTACTGACAATTCATTTTCAAGGGATACATTTCGATTTAGACATACAAATTTGACATTTTCACCGGCGCGCCGGTAATACAGATTCCCAAATTGTTTACTCTATTGTTTTATATATGTCGCTCGATACAAATATTTAATTTAAATCAATTATACATTTTTTTACACAAAATGGCATTTATCAAACTTGATACATAATATACTATTACTTTATTGTAACCCTACTTACGATATTGATATTATAAATATATTCTTTTAGAATATATGTGATTATTATTGTTAATAAGTATACATTTATGTAATTTTATTTAAAACATTAAAAATTAGGTCCTAAAACTTTTAATATTATATTATGTATCAAGTTTGATACACGCCATTTTAGTCACGAATTTAAATTAAAAATTATCTAACTTGGGAATCTGTAGTACCGGCGCGCCAGTCAAATTTGCATGTGTTAAACGAAATTTACCTATCCCTTAAAAATGGACTAACAACCGTTTAAATGATGATATAGAAGCAGTTTTTCACAGTGTAAGTTTGTTTATGGACACTTCACGGACTATCCACCCAAAATTTGTAATGCTTTAAGTTAATTCTAGTTTACTGCCGGCAAAATCAAAAAGTTGAAAAACTATTTTATACTTTATTTTTGTGTAAAGATAATAAAATAATTTCCACATTATTGTTTCACAAGAATTTTATCGATTGTATGAAATTTGTCAACTAACTGAAAACTAACTGCCCGTGACTAAAACGCCATAAAGCCACAACTTGCCAATGTGTATTTAAAAGGTCACTTATTGAAACATGTATTATAATGGGCGTTTTATAGATGGTAGTAGAAAATAGTATATTATGTATCAAGCTTGTTAAACGCCATTTTATACACAAATTTAATTTAGGCACGAGCGAGCTTTCAAGCGAGTTCTTAAATTAATGAGTGTATAGAAAAGTTTATAAACAAGGTGCATATTATACTTTTTTTACGACAAATACTTAATATTATTTTAAAATGATTTAAATCAAATATTTTTTTAGAGCGCCATCTATGAAACAATAGGGGAATCTGTGTGTCACCGTCAAATGTCAAATTTTTATATTTTACCTATATACACAGATTATAAAGGTTATAAATCGAAATGTATTTCTTGAAAATTGACTGTTTTTCACAGTAAAAGTAAAGAAAATGTTTTATGAGCACTTACAGTGGAGTCCGTTCCCGAATTTAAGTTATAGTTTACTGCCAGCGAAATTAAAAGGTCAGTACAATGTTCATATAAACTTTTCAAATATTGGCGTTGAAAAACTATTTAATACTTTAGTAATTTTGTATTGAGATAATAAAATAATTTTCACATTTAGTATTATTTTACAAGAAAGGCACTTTATTTTAACGATTGTATGACATTTGACAACTGTCAACTAACTTAAAACTAACTTCAGCCCGTGACTAAAAACCTGTTGCTAACTTCAGCCCGTGACTAAAACGCCGTAAAGTCACAACTTGTCAATGTGTATTTAAAAGGTCACTTAGTGTCATGTACGATAATGGTCGTTTTAAAGGTGGGAGTAGAAAAAATATATAAAGAATACAGGGAAAAACGACCTTTGTTACATTTTTTAAATTACGAAAAAAATCGAATTTCAAATTTTCAAAATAAATTAAATTGATGAGAAAAAAAATAATTAGCGGTAATTTCACCATTTTTATTTTATTTACAATTAAAGTTTCACTAATTTATCGATTCAATATTTAAATTATATTATTAATTGAATTGGTCAGAACATTAAACTTTAAATTATCGTTAAATTATATTAAAATAACAATCTGCAAAAACATTTATTTTATTCGGTAAGTACGATTTGGTTACATAACAAATCGAAACATTGAATCATTGGCTGTATTAATAATGCAGCTACGTTTATCTTTCAAAGCATCCAGTGTGAGCACACTATATACATAAATATGTATGATCAATTAAAAAATGGTAACCCTTGTAGGTGGTAGTTTATTTTGTTGTTAAGTTGTTTGGTTTGTAATTTTCAGATATTATCAATTTTCAAATCTTATAAGTATCGTCAAAAATGGCGGATGCGCCGGGATTACTTTGCAATTAATTAATAATATAGGTTAAATATTAGGAAACGCATTAATTATTTTTATATAACAAGAATTTATTTTAGTAATAATTTAAAACTTTTTATACATAGGTTTTAAAAATTATTATTGATTACATTATTTTAATTAATATTATAATGCAATCTATATTGCAATGACAAGTCATTATCCAATTTATTAAAAATATTTTCTTATAATATTCTATAAAGTTATGCATAAAGTCTTCTTAAGGAATTCGTATTTATTCCGATACGTGACGAGTTTTGATGTTGTAGTGTCGGATGGCGGTGTGCGCATGCCCGCGTTCAAAAATACATCGTAGCGCGAATAAGGCATTGCATTCAACTTCAGTAGTTTCCGACGTAGTCGCGTGTAACTTCGTAACACCGGCACGTTCAGTGTTTTTTAGTGAACAGTTTTTTCAGTACTTTTCTGTTCAGTTAAAGGATTAGTTAACGGATTTTTTTAACATTTTCGTTATTTATATTGGTGTGCTGTGTGGCAGTTAATTGACCAAAATGAAGATCACGTTGCTGGCGATTTTGTTTGCAGTTTTTTTAACAGGTAGGCAACTTTTAATTACTTAAAAAAAATTATAAAAAATTATTTTGTTTATAATTGGCATTATTATTATGCATACTATATTATATAGAAATACGAGTCCTAATTACAAACTTTTACATGGCGCGCTTTTGTAAACCAGCAATTTACGCAATGTTCTCATTAAAAAATATATATATTTTTTAATTTTGTTTAATGCAGTATTAATAATTATTATCAAATAATCCATAATTAATAAATGATTTTAATAAATATACAGGGTGTCAGAATTTTGTCGCCTAGTTAATAATAGATACCTCGTGAAGTTTTTAATATTCCATTATGAATATTCATAAAAGTTCATGTAAACATAGTTGTGGAGAGTGTTGAAATTAATTAATTTAAACTCTGTGTATCTTGAAATATAAGCGTTTGACGTCGCGACGTATGGTTAAATTAAAATTTTCAAATATCGAGAGAACTCATTTGACCATACTGTAGACAACATACGCTATATTAATTTAGCAAATGTCAAAAATCATTATAAAAACTTGTGTTTCATCAAAATCTAAAAATCCGAATATCTCAAAACCAGCCAACTTAAACGTATTTGACATGGGTACTTTTTTCTTTTAAGTTTTTTTAATTAAAAAAAAAAAATTGTGTCCTTAGTAAGTTTGTTTTATATCAAAAACCCCCGTATAAAATTTTAATGCAATACGTCAAAACCATTTTACGATATTTTTAAAATTCTATTTTTAAAACTTAATACTTTGTATCTCGACAACCCAGCGTTTATGTTTATATACTTTTTATACTTAATTTTAAAAGTCTTATCAGGGGTTAAGCGACAAAAATTAAAACATACTGTATAAAAAACCTATTATTAATTTTTGTTTAATGTAATATAATATAAAAGTTGTATTTCATAAAATTACCAAAAATAATTTTAATTAATTAATTGTATTGCTAAATTTTAACAAATAATTTTCTTATTTTGAAACGTTTTAAATTTAGATTGAAAATACAATTCATTGTTCATATATTTTGTCTAGTTTACTGGTATAGAATAGAAAATAAAAGTCAATATATCAGCCATAATACAAATAGATTGTGTTTTTTTCATAAAAAAACAATAAACCTCAATTGATATGAGTTAAGGACTCCGTCAATTAACGTTTTTACCACCCACAATACTTCAATGTTAATTAATCATAATTAAAATTAATACACTTTAAAAAATCCAATAAATAAGTGGATGGTTGATGACCATAAAAAATAAAAAATTTAAGAGTTTGAAGAAGATTTATAGAATTTTTCAAATCTTCTTTCATTCTTATAATGTAGTTTAATTAATTCTTTTAAAATTTAAATGTAAAATCTATTTTTACCATCAATCCGGTTAAAGCCTTGGCTCAAACAGGTATTGGTTTATAAAATAAACTAAAAGTTTACGCAACATTATGTTTTTAGGTTATATTTATTTTCACTTTCCTTTGAAACTTGTTTGTTAGAAGATCCAATTGTTAGTGGAGAATTATTTTTGGAATAATTTGCATAAGAAATGTTTTTGGGTTAAGCACCTACTATGAAATAGTAATTATTTATAAATACACTTTTTATTACCCATTTATAATTAAAGGTTTTATTATCGCAGAATTACCTACGTTTATTGTTTAAAAATAAATATGTAGTTACCATAGCAAATATAATACTTCGTAATATAACCTTGTTAATTTTTTAAATCAACATTGTTTTCCTTTATTTGCTAGAAATTCTATAAATGGAACCTTAAAATTAGAAATGTCTTCATTCATAAAGTTATGAAATAGTATTTGGTAATTTTGTCGCTTCCTTAAATGTAGAAATTAAACTGCGTGTGTATTAATTCAAACATATTTTATTTTAAATATTTATATGCACTTTAAACATAATTATGTTGTCTTTTGAATTTAAAAATGCCCCGATAGCAGAATAGTTATTGTGAAATATGTTTACTGCTTTCAGTGAATCGGTGTTATATTTATGTCGATTTCATCGAAAATGTTTTGGCTTGGATTTTTAGCATGCGGGCGATTTTAAAGGAAATAACATAAATAATAAATAATGCAATTAACTGACATTTTAAAAACGATAAGGTTCAATTTTAAAGTCAGGGTTAACAGAAACTTTATACGTATTTATGGGACTGTTTAATTTAGAATTTCGTGTGGGGAAAATAATAAAAGATAATTTACTTAAACTTTAGGGGTTTTGGTTTTAGCAGAACTCCTATACGTAGAAAGAAAAACAGTTAATATAGGTACCATTCGAAATCATACCATTTCTAATAAAACCTCACGGATTACTATAACAACAGTATTAGTAACTTTGACACATCAATGATTACCTACTGCCAGTAAATTTAGTGAACAATATTCTGCACATTAACGCAAAAGCTCCAATAGTTCAATGGTTACTTTTTCTTTTCTCCATATGGTGGAATTCTACCATAGCAAAAATGTGGTTAATACAGTGGCGGCTCGTCAGGGTAGGCCTCTGAGGCCGCGCCTCACCCTTAAAATGAAGGAACGAACGACTTTTTGTATTTATATTTTTGCCTATTACAAGTGTATTTTTAAAACAGTTCTACCCAATAAAAAGTAAAAAACCAATCAATCATATTAAGCGTAAATAAAAATCCAGGCGCAAAGCGCGTCAAGTTAACGTGCATCGTTGAGAGTCGCTTGGACAGAGGCGAAATTTTCACAGCCTCGGAAGCTCCCATTTACCTCTTGAAAGCGAAAATGACTCACCAACAAAAATATCGCCGTAAGTTCGCGAATAAACACCGTAGATGAGGCGAAATTTAGTTAGCTTGGTTTGTTCTGATTGGTGGTCCGTTTATGGTGGGATGCCAGCGGAGACAAAGAACAGTGCTGCCATATTGGGCGCTTTAGCGCCAATTGGGCGGTTTTAAGAAATAATTTGCGCCTAGTTTTTTATAAAAAGCGCAAACCGCAATTTGGGCAATTTCTGAAAAAATAAATTGCTCTTTTGGAAATTCTTCGAATTAAACTAAAAAAAACTTAAAATATATCTTCAGATTGCAGCTGTGATCACCACAAATAATAATCATAGGTGTAAACACATATACTTACTGGGTAAGTAATGTATATGTGTAAAAAATATAATTTTGTAATTAGAGGAGAGTGCGGTCAAAATTTGAATTCAAATAAAAGAAATTGAAATATGAGTTCTGATTGGACAGCTAACTTTTTTCCCCTTTCCGTTACTGGGCTGTTGTGCAGCCGGGTTAACAGTAATAATATTAGTAAAAAATATAGCCTACTAGCATTCACAATAATAATGAATAGAACAGTTTCTATTCCTTATTATTTTAAATGCTAGTAGGCCATATTTAAATTTATTTATTTTTAAAAATATTTTTTTATTTATTTTTAATAATATTAAACATTTATTTTTGTATATTTCATAAATAATAATAAAATTGTTTACTATCAAGAAAAATGTCTTTATCTATAAAAATATTAAAATAGTGTGTTTAAGTATTTTTAATACATTTTTCGAATTAAGCGTTACAAGAATTTCATTTTAATTTTACCAATCTAACGTTGGCGCTGATTGCAATTTTGTTGGCGCTTTTGGGCGATATCTTACTCGAAAATTGGCGCCTCGACTTTAAAATATCTGGCAACACTGACAAAGAAGGTTGCCAGTCTTCTCTTAGGGTTTGTAGAGCACGTTATTGTTTTGATTCAGATTAAATTATTTAAAACTTTTGGCTGATCTTTTATAGTTTTTGTCTCGATTAGTAAAATTTCTTATTTAATTATTGTAGGGAACACACTAAGGTAGATTTAGCAGTTTTTATTAAGCAAATTTTATATTTTGAAATAATAGATTGCATAATTCTTCAATTAGAGACGCGGTTTGAAAATTTAGAATTACTTTTAAATCTCACTGCAGACCCACAATTTTACGACCAAATAATAGATAAATTTTCAATCTTAAAAGATAGACGTATAGTATTTTATATTTTTTAATACTTAGGTAGGGGTCGACTTTTTAGTTTTATTTTTATTTTTTGATTAATTTATTTATTTTTAACTTTTTTAAGACTATATTTTTAAGTTTAAGATTAAAACTAGTATTTGATGTGATATTTTGTTTGTTTTGTTTTTTAGAGTTTATTTTTTGGTTTAGTAGTGCTATCGGCTCCATTTTAAAAAAGGTCAACGCGTCGCAGAATAATACCTCCCGGGTGACGTGGAAATTTATTCGTATTTAGACAAAATTAACCTTATGTAGCCTCACCCTCCTGTACACCCACGAGCCGCCACTGGGTTAATAGTATATTATTATACGAGAGATAATGCAGGATATTATTCACGAGGTTTGCGTCTCGATTCGCCAGACGAGAGACTTAAATCAACCGAGTGAATAATGCGCATAATCTCGAGTGTAATACTATACTTTATCTACTCCAACAAGTAGATTAGTTAGTAATAAAATGTAAAATTGTCTAAGATATAATAATGTTTTTAAAATTTGTGATATCGCCCTTTAGGTTTTAATATAAAATGTTTTAATAAGTTTTAAATATGCTTCGATATGTTTAATGTCTGATGATGGCAAAAATAGTAGTCGAAATCTAGATCACAATTAATTTATTTTGGGAGAAATAAAGACCAACCATATTATAATTGAAAATTGAATTTTCTTAATATTAGATAATTAAATGATTTTCAAAAATAAATAAATAAAATGTGACATCTGTCAAACGGTTAACCTTACTTTTTACCAATTTTAAATGTTATTATAGTCGCCTTCTCCCAAATTAAAACCCGATTTGTTCAAATCACAGTGAATATTGAAATCGGCCAATCACTTATGCCTTACAACGTTGTTAGGCAGGGAATTTATAATATTCATTATTTTTCACGAAAAAAAAAACAATTTAATGCAATAGGATATAAAAATACTAAATTCTTGTTTAACCATTGTATTCATTATAAATTTAT